TTTTAGATCTCTCACTGAATTCCCTGTGCAGGCCTCAAACCTGTACTCCCACTGTCCCAGCCTCTCAAATACCTGATATTATAGGTGTGTGCCACCCTACCTAGCAGGTGCCACTTTCTGAAGAGTGTCTTTTCACTCCTGAGAACATATACTGGAAGTATTTTCATCATCCAAGACAGTAGTTGAATGATCAGAACTAATGACTGGGGCTGCTTCATCCACCAGAATATGCCAGTTGTTCCCCATCAGCCCAGACAGGCAGTGCCCAAAGAGACACAGCTACTACTCAAAATAGGATCATTTGCTGACATCAGAAGTACAAGAACATTAGGAACAGAAATTCTCAACAGAAGAATAAAGCCACAGCTCTCCAGAAATCCTTTGGAAGTAGGAAGACAGTTTTTCCATTTGTCAGAACAGGTGAAATAGTTCAACTCCCACCCATGGTATTAACTCTTCATATGACTGAATATTCACAGCCCTCTCTGACTAGCAGATCACATCTTAAGCCCCAGCACCAAGCAAAAGCATCAGCATCCAGAGGCAGAGAACAACAGGGAAGACCAAAATAGGGCCAAAAGAGAGAATGAAGGAATCTTTACAAAAGTACTAAAAAGCAGGAAGTTGCAGTGCCTACCTGTTAGCACGGCTGTGTGCAGAATTCACGCATGTGATAGGAACTTTCCAAGGTCAGCAGCTCTTTGAGTTCTGTGACAATCCTCGGGAAGCAGACCACCACCTTACCTCACTGGTACCCACACCTTGAGTTCATCCCATCTGCCGCATCAGCTCTGTAGCAGTACTTTCTATGGTGAGAACACAGGCTTGTGGACAAACCTACCTGGGCTCAAATCTCAGCTTCTCCGCTTACTAACTGTGTGACTTAAGTGGAGTTGATTTGTAATTCATGGCAGGGGCAAGTCCAGCAGGACTGAGCAGTGCTTCCAACCTCCCGCAGCAGACACACGATCTGCTCTTACCTGAAGCTCAGTGTTTCTGGTTATATAATTCCATGTTTTTGGTGGGGGGGGAGTTGTTTTGCTCTTATAGTGAAGGCAGTGGAGAAAAGCAATTCCTGCACAACACACAATGAGGAAATTCTACTGTCCTCAAAGTATTTTGCCATTTTCCAAATTTTACCATTCTGCTCTTAATTTTTTCACTCTAAATCTGGGTAAAAGCAGTAAAAAGACCATATGTTGGGCTGTCTTGAAATTTCCTCCACCTGTTACCTTTAAACAACCTCCTACAAAGTTTCAAGGTATAGCATACACAAAATGTAGCCAAGTTCTTTGCAATATACCACAAGTGGCTTCTAGTCCAGTTTTCAATAGAGCCTTATCAGTACATCCTTTAGCTGTCTGCAGTCCTATCAGCACCACCCCCAACCCAGTGAAGTGATTGAACCCAGGGCCTTTGCACTTAGCTCCATCCTCACCAATTTTTTTTTTTTTTTTTTTGAGATTTTTAAGACAGGGTCTCACTAAGTCACTAAATCCTCTTGAACTTGTGATCCTTCTGTGTCAGCCTCCCCAGTGTTGGGATCACAGATGGGAGCCATCACCCCTGGCTCCAATCAGTACTTGAGTCAGTGCCAAAATCTGTTAGGGCTCAGAATTTAGCCCACTGGTTCCACCACCTGCCTCACAAGTGCAAGGTCCCAAGTTTGAGCCCTGGTACCTCCCTGCAAAAAATGTTAACATTCTAGCTTTCTCTCACCTGCTTCCAAACTTTTCCAAATTCCAAAAACAAGCAAATTCCAAGTTTCTCACGGTCAATTACAGTCAGTCACAGCAGCAACCACCGGTTGGTACTAATTTTCTATGCTAGACACCTGTTAACTGACAAAATAACTAAAATAAAAGCAGAAAGGTTTATTTTGGCTCAGTTTCAATCCATTGGCTGTTGGGCCCTGTTGTTTTGGCTCTGTGGTGGTTGTGTACATCGTGGCAAAAGTGTGGTGGTGGAGGAGGCCTGTTTATCTTATTGCAGCCCAGAAGCAAAGACGGGCTGGTCCCTTCGAAGGCACATCCCCCCGTATCTCATCACCTCCCTAGTGCCACATGCTAGTAACCGAGCTTTTAACACGCGGGCCTTTGAGGGACACTCACCCAAACCACAGTATGATTAAAGATGGAGGATGCACAGTTGCATGTTAAATTGACCTTGAAATAACGCAACATACAAGCCATGCTGACAGACTTGTGGAGTCATGGACCTAGAGCAAGGGAAAATCCTCAGTAGTAAGAAAGCCCTAGCCTCCTATCAGAAAAGTACACCATTGGGCATCTCCGAGCAGCACACCCTACAGCTGACCCTTACTTTCAAACTACTTTAAATCTTCGGTGTTGGTGTCACCATTGATCCTCTCTACACACAGTAAAGAAAACTTTTTGAAATAATCTGTAAGCTTACACAAATGACTTTTAGATAAATATAACCACCCAATTACTAATCCAAGTGACTTAACCATGTGCCTTAGGTTGAAAAACAAAAATAAAAAATTAGGAAATAATTCAGAGCTTTACTTAGCTCATTTGTTGATACAGCTGTAGCAATTTTGAAACTGTAGCATTGAACAAATGAATAAAATACATTTAAGACAATGGAAGCTCAGTTTACTACTGTGGGAAGAGACAAGTCACTGGATTGTAATTAAAAGTTTGAACTCATGTAAAAATATGTATTTATATATACATGGATCCTACATCAAACACATACTTGTTTAAATATTTCCTAATTGAATGCTAAAAATGTCTAGAAATGACTGTCCAGTGTCAATGTGAAAAGCTTCATCCAGTACCAATTTTAGCCTCTTCAATAACACACCTACAAAAAGAATCCAGGGTGGGGCAAGGAAAACACAAGATAAGTATAGAACAGTATCCTCTGTCAAGAAATAAGGAAGTGCTCAAAAAATTACCAGGGCATATGCAGAGAACCTACAGGACCAGCTTTCGTTATACGTGTCAGGAAATTCTGAGCATCAAAGTGAGTAACAACCAGACGTAGTGGCACCTACCTGTAATCCCAGCTATTAAGGAGGCTGGGGCAGGTATTTCACAAGTTCAAGACCAGCCTGAGTAATTTAGGAAGTCCCTTTTCAAAATAAAAAATTTTAAGTGATTTTTATTTTTATCTTTCTTTTTTTTGGTGGGGGGGCGGTTTGACACAGGGTTTCACTATGTAGCTGAAATTGACCTGGAACTCACTATGTTGCCCAGGCTGGTCTCAAACTCACAGCAATCCTCCTGCCTCAGCCTCCGAGTGCTGGGGTTACAGGCATGCGCCACCATGCCCGGCTTCAAAGTAACATTTTTAAAAAGGGTTACTGGTACAGCTTAGGCATTTCTAGGTTCAGCCCCAGTCCCACAATTATATCCCACCCCCACCCCTTTTCAGACAGGGTCTTGCTATGTCAATAAATTGCTCAGGCTAGCTAGGCTCAAAATTGCAATCCTCCTGACTCAGCCATGTGCTACCATGCCCACCCTAAGAATAGTATGTTTTAAAGAATCCATGGCTCTAAACTGATACAAAGAAAAAAGAGAAAGTCCTTCATTGCTTAAACTTCTGATAAATGTTGATACAGAATTAGAAACAACATTTTACACTCAAACAATCAATTATTGAGGCAAGAATCATCAGTGAATAAAACTACTGGGTGAAACTTTGTTGACAGTAACTAAAGGATGCTCCACAAATTCATAATTAGTTACAAAATTAAAATGGCAAGCTTGGTAGAAAATCTTTTTCAGTCACAAGATCAACATTAACTACCAATGAAAATGCTTTTTGATGTGATACACTAAAGGGTCACATTTATGATATACTTTTTATCTAAATGTAAGGAAGTAAATCAGGAAAACCCAAATTGAGGGACTTCTACAAAATGTCAAGAAAGCATATTTCAAAAATGCCAACGTCATAAAAGACAAACTTATAGAGGACAATGAACTTTGTTCTTATAAAATACTAAACTACAGTATTATGCAAGTTATTCTCATCAATTTTTATATATACCTAAATATTATACTAAATATATTTATGAAAAGATGAAGCAAATACAAAAAATGTTAATGTAGGTAAAGCTATTTCTGTAACTCTTCCTACATTTTATGGGCTTGAAATTTTCACAATAAAGTGTTTTAAAATGTGAGAATATATTTCTGGAAATAACAAGTCAATATGGCAAACTACACTTTACTTCATGTCTACTCTGCTAAACAAGCAAAATCACAAATATCTCACTGACATTCAACGATTCACATGGAAATTAAGAGATTATATGTTATCCTTATCTTCATAGTTAGAAAACTGAAGCCTAAGAAATAAACTGCCCTAAAATATATTATCTCACTTATGGAAAAAAATTATTCTTAGAGAAAAAAGGAAAACAATATACCAAAGCACTGTATAAGTCTCTTATTTGGTGCCTGGCACATTCTAACAAAATACCTATGGCAAACTAACTTCATAAAGAAAAGAGGCGAATGTGGCTCACGATTCCAGAGACGGAAGGACATGGTGATCACGTCAGCTTGGTTCTCAGGAGGACCCTTCGGGCTGCATCACGTGGCAGAAGCACATTTGTGAGGAGAGATCACAGTGCCGAGAGGAGCAGGGCCCCACAGTCCCTCACAGAACACACCCCAGAGTACCACTATGGCCCACTTTACATGGGCCCCAGATCCCACTTCACATCAAGCTCCCAACACTCGACCTTTTGGGGGACACAAGCCACATCCAAATCACAGATGCCAAAAAATGGTCAGCCCTGGGTGATAATGATATATTCTGTTTTCTTTCTAATTTTCTTGGTTTGTCAGATTTCTACCATAAAAAATGAAAATTGATACTCAAAAAATACCAGTTCATTTTTTAATAATGCACATAATTTTATAATACGGCACAAAAGAGGTACTCCTAGAATTTAATAAACTTATTGGCTATTCCCAGTTATTACTGGAATTTAGATTCCCAGGTTTCCATGATTGCAAAGGCAGGGATGGGCTCTTGATTCAGCTCTTGTGGTTCCCCCCCCCATGGTTTGTTTACAATGGAATATTCGCATGTTTCCTCCAAGGACGCTGTACCTTCTTGCTGGCCAAGACATCCAGGTCACAGCAGATCCGGGCACGGGTGGAGGAAGGCTGTATGATGTCATCCACAAACCCTGGGGAGGCACAGGAGAGATGACCGAATGCCCAGACAATGCCACCAAGCCCACCTGTGCTTAGCCCAGCCACCATCCCTGGGCTCCCGTGATACAGAGGCCCCTGACCCTGCTAACTCCCTTGTCCCAGGAGACTGTTTCAACCAAAAATAAAATTAAGAAAATACATCTAGTTTTGGGCCAAGGATGTAGCTCATCGGTGCAGCACCTGCCTGGCAAGAGCAAGGCCCTGAGTTCAATTTCCAGTACCAAAATAATAATAATAATAATAATACATCTAGTTTAAGATAACTCCAACAATTTTCCCATCCCTGTACACAAGTCCTGTAATGTGACTGCCACTTATCCCACACAGAGACAGATTCTATTCTCTCCAGTCTCGTGAGTTGCTTTGGTCAATAAAGTGTGGCAAATGTGGTGCAACTTCCAAACCTAGGCTTCACAGGATCCTGCAGCTTCCATTCACCCTTTTGGCTGCCCACGATGTGACATTAAAAGGCCTGGATTGGCATTCGAAAATTGGGAGACCTTTTAGTGAAACAGTATAGCTAACAGCTAGCCTCTAGCCCCTAAGTAAGTCCATTTTACCACCAAGCAGTACTCAAGACACAGGATGACAAGAGCCTTGGGAGTGATCCCAGGCCAAGACCAGCAGAACTGCCAAGCTAAGCCCAACCAAACTGATAACCCTCAGAACCACAACCAGAAATTGGTGCCTAGTTTAAGCCACTAAGTTTGGGATGGATAGCATTATATAAAAATATTGCTACATAAAATGAAAAACCCCCAGAAATGTAATCCCTTCAGCAGTGCTGTTTTGATCGTAGTTACCAAGCCTGCCTGGGCAATTCTGCTGTCCATAAATATTCCTGGCCGCGGGACAGCCCTAACCTTCCCCAGTCTGCAGAGGTAAAAAGCAATTATGTGAAACATTTTGCAAAGAATGAACCCAAATAAACAAAATCACCCTCCCCACCAGGTCCCACCTCTCACTGCTGCAGGAAAAGGGTTGGCAAACTTCTCAACATACTCTGCCTGGGCAGCTTCCACATCCTCGTGCCCTTTGAAGATGATCTCCACAGCACCCTGTCACAAGGAGGTAACAGGCTTCACTGGAGTCCCAACCAGGACAGACCTATCCTTATCACTGTGTGTGGTTCTGAGCTTCTTGGCAAACCAAGAGTGCAAGAAGGAAGTGCCAGTTCCAGAAGGAAAAACAGAGGGACAGGTCCCAGCTGGGATCAGCTATCACGACTCCAGGGTCTGCACGATGGATGCCCACCAGTAGCCCCAATTCTATCCCACTGTGATATTAACTGATTGTGTCAATTTGAGTAAAAAACACCCAACTAAATAGTTATGTGTGGCTACGGGGATTTACGGAAGACAGAGGACCCACCCTGGGTGTGAGTGACAGCAACTACTAGGCTTGCTGCCTGAGTGGAATAAAAGGGAGACAAAGGAAGGCAGGCTCGTTTCTGTGTCTTTGGAGGAGCTCCAGTCTTCCCCTTCACCTTGGATGCCATCTCCTGGTTTCCAGTGCCGACTCTTCAGCCTCATGATACAGACCCACACTACACTGAGCTCTAGGCCTTCCACTGAATCCTTTGGATCTCTAGCACATGCACAGCCTTTCTGCACTTTTCCATACCTGACTGCAGGCAGCCACTGTACAATCTTGTAAATTCTCATATGCAGTGGTATCTCAGTTCACAAACTTAATTCATGGCCATGTTCACGTGGGAAAGATGGCCACGGTCATGTTCATCATCTGATGCAGAGTTTGAAAACAGAAACAAATTTTGCCAAACTTCTGTTTACAAACCACTGTTTGCTAACAAAAATGCTCATGAACTGAGGTACCACTTCATTCATGTATCTTGCATTTAGTCTGTTTCTCTAGTAAGGACTGACTGATACACTCACCTTCTCCATCTGCACGCCTTATATTTTGAGGCCAAGATGTTTGGACTACTTTGCACTATTAACTCTATCATCCCCTCCATCAAAAGGAATTAACAGTATGGTTTTCCCTTTTCATTTTCCTGAGCTCTGAGTATACAATGAGGTGGCCTGAGGAGCACAGACTGAACTACAAGGATTGACCTTCAAGTCAAAACACCTGTCAGTGAGTTCTAGGGACCCTAGGAGTCACCTGGTTCAAATTCAATAGCTCTTTTGAAGCAGTGAAGGAGTGTCGCATAGGTTAAACACAGGAAGTACTTTGCCTAGAGTCAGAACTACACTTCAGTTTCTTATGGGCTCCAGGGTCCTTCAATGGAGCTGAGGCAGGATTGGGGAGGATGTCCCATCTCTCCAAGGTTTGAGTCCAGCTGATTCAACCCTTTCTCCTTTCTCCTCACAATCTCAAACCCCACTCTGGGCCCCTTGCCATTCTATCCCTTCCACCTGATCCCCTGCCATGATGACACCAGCACATGCCTGCAGTAAGAGGAGGACAAGAGGCAATGCTGGATTTGGGGCCCCAGATCTAGGCCCCACCTTCCACCCTTGGCTTACCAATATTTACTTCTTACCCATATTTACCAGCTATGCTTTGAGCTCCCGCTGGGAAAGGCAAGTCCCTTAATCCAGGAAAGAGGAAAGCTGGAGATCCTCACCTTTGCTCCCATGACTGCAATTTCTGCTGTGGGCCACGCATAGTTGGTGTCACCAAGAAGGTGCTTAGAGCTCATGACATCATAGGCACCTCCATAGGCCTAGAACAGATCCAAAAGCTGGATGTCAGAGCCTGCGACAACCAGATCATATTCCTGAAAGGTCCCACAAAGCTGATGAGACAAGAGGCAAAGAACAACAGCCCACTCCGGGGCTCCTAACAGCTGACATATGAAAGGCCATTCACAGTTAATGTTCCATGTCCTTCCTGGCATTTCTTCTCTGCTCTTTCAACTCTCTGTTGAAAAACCACAGATACCTCTCCAGGGCTGGAAATGCTGACCTCTACAGGGATGAACACATGGCCCCTTGAGCCATGGTGATAATCAGCCACACCTCCACACTGCGGCCATGTTTATGGTGGGGGGTGTGGAGGTCACGGCTCCAACATAAGGGCCTCACCTTCCTGGTGATGATTGTGACTTTGGGCACAGTGGCCTCAGCAAACGCATAGAGAAGCTTGGCGCCATGGCGGATGATGCCCCCATATTCCTGCGCTGTGCCTGGGTCACGAGGAAGAGTTAGTAAATACTCACAACATCCTCCCAAGTTTGCCTGCCACGCACAGCTTTGAAATCTTCTTGCACCTCCAAAGAGGGAGAATCCTCCCACAGCCCTGTCTTCTAGATACCCAGAATATAGAGAAGTCACAGATGCTTATGGAATTGTACAAGAAAATCTCCAAACAAACTTGGTGCCTTACTGGGCAAAACCACCTCTCCTGGTCCCACCTCTGCTATGACTTACCAGGCAGAAAGCCAGGGACATCAACAAAAGTGATGAGTGGAATATTGAACGCATCACAGAATCTGACAAATCGAGCCCCCTTCACAGATGAATTAATATCCAAGCATCCTAGAAAGAGAGATTGTCCATGCTAAGCATCTGAGTAACTCCAATTTCTACTCACAACGGGAATATACTGTCATCAGTCATTCAGAACAAGTTCTGTTAAGGCCCCCACAATCTCCTCAAATAGTAGTAAGAAACCCTCATGCTCCAAGAAAAGCAAGGAAGATGGAGAACAAACCTGGCATTGGCCCAAGAGAGCCCAGTGGTAGCTTCAACCCCAATCCCCTTGCTGGAAACACAGCCCAGCAGAGAAAGCCAGGCTCCACCACACAGACAAGGGTGGCCACCAGCTAAGACACAGCCTGGCTTGTTCCAGGGGACCCCAGTGGGGACTATGGTTCAGGAGCTGGTCCTTGAGAGTCCTCAGACTCTGACTCTACCCTTTCGTTATGGCTTATATCCAGATGTGCCACTAAAGCCTCACGTAGTCATAGGTGGGGAGTTCTGAAGCTGGCTGAATTAAGGATGTGAATGTGAATTAGGAGTGTGATACTGGAATTACGAGTATGGATAATAGAAGCGCCACTCTGGGTATGGGTGGTACCAATTAATAGGTCTGGAGTCTGGATGGAATATAAAGGGATAGAATGGAGATAGGTCTGCTGTTGCTGCTTGCTGCTTGCTCTTAAGTACCTGCTGCATGCTTTGCGATGGACTATTTCTCTTCTGTAATGCCCCTCTGCCATGCCACCTGCCTTGGAGCCAGCTGACTATACAATGAAACCTCTACAAACTGTGAGTTAAAATAAACCTTTCCTCCTTTAACTTTGGGTATTGGGTATTTTGTCTCAGCAAAAAAAGAAAAAAGTAATGAAGATACCTTCAAAGCTTTCTAGCCTGAGGTTCTTTGCCTGAGAAGTAGAGGCATTATTAGCTCCTAGCATAGCTGTAAGCATTGAAGGATCTGGGCTCTGCAAAGTGGCACAGCGTAAGAGCTCAATTACTAGTAAATCTCTCTGGACAGGAGAGTTTCCACCTTACTCTCTGAGGCCAGCACAACCCTAAAGCCAAAGCAGTAGAAGCATGCTATAAGAGAATGACACAGACCAAACTCTCTCTTATTTTTTTAAAGCATATTACCAAACCAAACCTAGCAGTGATACATCATGACCAACTGGGGGTTACTGAAAGAGTTTAAGGTTTATTTTAACATATGACAATCAATAAAATTATTTGATAAAGGAGAAAGCCTCTCCGTAATCATTTTAATAGATGAGGAGGAAAAAACCTGACAAGACCCATGCATGGTTAGAAATGAGCAGTAATGAGGATTTTCTGAACTCTTGTAATCCAGTAAGAGAATCTAAAAAAAAAAAAAAAGAAAAACTAACCCCCAAAAATCTTCTATACTCACTGGGCAAAAGAACAAATATTGAAATACCCATTCTCTACCAACAACCTATATTGTGCTACTGAAAAGCCCTTTTCTGTGGTGCTGAATGTTTCCTGACTAGGACCACAGGTCACTGGTCACAGCTGCTGAGCACTTTCAATATGGCTACTGGTAAGGAAGTAAAATTTTAATTGTATTCCATTTGAACTATTTATTTACAATATTTTAATTATTTTGGATTCATTTTGTTTTGTTTGCTGTAGTGGAGACTGAACCCAGGTCCTTTGTCAATTAATTTGGACTTAAAGTATAAATCTAAACAAGCACACTGGGCAGCACTTATGCACAGATCCTTTCAAACAATTCCTAGCAATAATACAAGATTCTTTTGCAGAAATTGATAACTGAATTCCATAAGGTAATACAAAGCAGATGGAATGACCAAACCAGTATTTGGGGGAGAAAAAGAAAAAGCACAAAAAATTGATCACTTAAACTAAGTGGCTTCAAGACTTATCAAGCAGGTTTCCCAACCTTGGCACTAACTGGCATTTGGGGATGAGTAAAACTTTATTGTTGGGGTTTGTCCCACACGTACAAAATGTTTAACAATATCTCTCGTCCACTGACTAGAGACCAGCAGCACATCTCTCACCCCATCTGTGACAAGCAAAAGTATTTCCATCGTAGTCAGACATCTCCAAGATACCCAAACCACCCCAGACTGAGAACCACAAGGCTAGAATAATCAGGACAAGATGGTATAGGGATAAAAGCAGACAAAAAACAGGACAAACGAAGAAACAGATCCACACAAACAATTGTGATCAAGCACCAAAGCAATTCAGTTTGGAAAAGTTGGTAGGGAACAACTAAATTCTTGTATGGGTGGGGGGGATGAAAGCCAGTTCCTATCTCACTTTAAAACACAAAAATTAAGTCAAAACCAATCACAGGCCTAATCATAAAACCCAGAACTATAGTACAAAGCTCCCAGAAGATAACATAAGACTAACATTACAAACTTAGGTGGGCAAATATTTCTTGGACAGGACACAAAAAGCTCTAACCATAAGTGAAAACACTGGACTTGGGATTTGGCTCAGTGGTTCCCCCCATTGCCTTGCAAGCTCAAGGACCCGATTTTCAATCCCTGGCACCAAAAAAACAAAAAAAAAAAAAAAAAAAAA